CTGATGAATGATCTGCAGGTTTTGAAGAATCCTATCATATTTTAGTGTAGAATAATTCAACAAGAAAAATCTCTTATCTTAAGTAGACTGTATACAAAAATAGATCCCTTTTTAACTAAATTTTCTCAACATTACACAAGAGATCTGCAGCGAGACACTATATTTATTATATGAAAATCCCTGTTCTCTACGTGAACAATACGAATCTTCACACATGATGCACCAAACTCCCAATATTTGTCCTATTGCGACAAATTTGCACAGAGTTCTGAATTAGGTCCAGACTGATGTGTGCTAAGTTTTGTTAAAATCGGTTCAGATTTCCATATATAGAGTCATCCGATTTTATGTGAATATTTGTCCGATTGGCACAAACTTTTGCACAGAGTTCTGAATTAGGTCCAGACTGATGTCTGCGAAATTTTGTTAAATTCGGTTCAGATTTAGATATAGCTCCCATATATAGTTTCGTCCGATTTTTTGTGAATGATGCACCAAACTCCCAATATTTGTCCGATTGGGACACATTTTTGCACAGAGAACTGCATTAGATCCAGACCGATGTCTGCGAAGTTTTTTTTTAATCGGTTCAGATTTAGATATAACTCCTATATATAGTTTCGTCCAATTTTTGTGAATGGTACACCAAACTCCCAATATTTGTCTCATTGAGTAAAATTTTCCCTCCCATATATAATTTGACTCGATTTCATACAAATGGTACACCAAAGAATCAAAGTCTGTCCGTTTGACATGCAATTTTTCATGGATTTCAGAATGTTATGTGTATGGGGTTTTCAATTGGTTCAAATATCTATCTAGATAGCACATTTAATTTTGCCCGATTCCATTTCAATGGTCCTCCAAAGAATCTATGTCTGTTTTTTCTACAGGATATTGTAAATATTAACATGTCTTGCATGTACCCAAAGTGGGAAAGGGTATCATATAGTCGGCCAGTCCGGCTTTTAAACTTTCCTTACTGGTTTCTTTATTAAATTATCAGTTGCGAAGTAAATACTTGAGATTCGATGACATTTAATTTGAATTCGATACATTATCTCAGAACTTGCCCACCTGAAGCCATTAAAAAACAATTGAGATTTTTAAAAAAAATTCTTATTTATTACAAAATTTTATTTAGACAATGCGATGAATTATGTTAAACGAAGCTGGCGGATCAATGAATCCATTGAACTTTCTTTACTATAATTTGAGTTTATTTGCGAATTCTATATGATATGGCCATAAATAAATTTACACCTTTAAAAAGATTTATGGCATTATTGGTTTTTGATTTATGACATCCAATTAGTGAGTGGTTCATGTAAATCTTGGTCAAAAAAAAATTTGTTTAATAACTAAACACGAATTTTTGAAATATGTACATAAAATTGAAACATTATTTTTCTATTCCAGTAATCGCTTCAGTCAAAATCGCTCTCAGAATAAAAAATAATACAAAAAGTTCTGGAAGGGAAAACTGGTAAAAATTTCAATACTTCAAAATTAACACAACAGCCAATCGAGTATAAAGTTTACCAAGAGAAGGTCATTTGGTTTTGTAGTCTCTTAAATTTTGTTGAAATGTTTACTAGTTTTGGGGGTTCAGAAATTCGTACACAATTTAAATATCTGTTTGAATTTAAGAATTTCTATTCCGTTAAAAAAACACTCGTTTTGCGATTTCTATTTTTGTAAATAAATCTTAAAACAAACCTCCAAACTGTCATGTGAAATCCGATACTATCTTAATTTGCTTGTCAAAAGAACAATAGAAATTAATGGGAAGTGAATTAAGGCATTTAAGCCACAAATTAGGAAGTGTACAACTAATTTATGGAGCACATCGAATGCAATTAATTTTCTAAGAGACAGCGTGAGATTTTGCATTTAAATAGATTCATAAATCATGTTTTCAAGTTTAGATAAATATATAATTACTTAGTTCCAAAGGTATTATAATATGCAAAATTAAGCGATTTGAAGGAAACAAGTTTAATTTTTAGGGAATGAATTAAAAGATAACCTATAGGAGTATTTTCCCTCCCTTTTGGATCTGAAGAGGTATTATGACGTGTTTAGTAAATATCAAAAATTAAAATAAAACCACAACAAACTATAAAATTTTCTAAAAATATATAAAAGTTAATGTTTTTATTTTAGGTCTTTTTGGTAACTATTTTTTTAATTTTTATTGAGAACAAAAATTAATTGTGAATGTTCTTTGCGAAGTTCCTACTTAAAATTGCATTGGAAAATAATTCTAATTTGTTTATTTCGTCACTAATTGAACTTCTCCATGCTTTGATCTTCGCTGTTGCGCCTCTAACAATACTTCAATATTTTCAAACCAGTGAGCGGAGCAGTAGAGTAACTTCGGGTAATGTGGACTATGCGTCAAATGTGGACCACCCCCTATATCTAAGAAAATGCTTGAAATATGTCAATGCCGCCTTGATAAATATTTTCCTTATTAGTGAAAACAAACATCAAAACTGGTTTTTAATAAATAAATGCATTGTAGAAAATGTAGTAGTAGAAAATGTAGCTGTGATTGTAAAAGTGTGATTTGAACATTTTTTAGCACAATAGTCGAAAGTTTTTGCACAATAGTCGAACACTTTGTTTTTCTCGAATATAAAGAAGTTATGTTGTTTTTTCTTGTTTTCTTTAACAAAAATATACGTTTAGCTGTAATTACAATCGGCAATTTTTAATTTTTATTCATTATTTTTATATAAAAATATTCAATGTCGGGTAATGTGGACCACTATAAAAAAGTGGGACCTTTTCATGAGGACGAGTTCGAAACGTGGGTGCATTTGATATGCGAGGAGGTATTCTATCCTCTGAAAACTCGATATGCGAAATTACAGGTGCTTCGGTTGGATAATGAAGCAAGGACCTTCAAAATACCGCAAATGGGGCGGTAACCTTAAATGAGGGCTATTCCAAAACATGAACCCATATATTTTTGCATTCATTGTTACCCAAGAGTGTAATAAATTGAAATTTATCACAACCAAACCACAATCTACCTTTAACTTACTAATACTCATTACCCACACATACTGGTCCACATTATCCGCCAAGTTATTTTTATTTGCAGCTTAGAGTTTTTTGAATTATAATGCAATAATATTTTTATAGATAAATATATATAATTTTTGACCTGGAATATATTTAGCCAACAAATCTACTATGTTGTGAAAATAATTTGTTTTCAGTTTTTACCGTTGGTAGGCCCACAATATCAAAAAAAAGAAAATGGTGGTCCACATTACCCGAAGTTACTCTATAGTCGGACGGGGCCGACCATATAATACCCTACACAACTTCCACGAAAATCTAACTTTGCGTTATTTGCACACTCTTGACACCCGACTAAAGGTCAACAAATATTAACAATATTCAGTAGACGATGGCTGTACTTGTTCAGATTCTCTTTTCCTTGGGTTATGTTGTGATGTTGGGCTTTCAATGGTGGCCTATTGATTGAGTCAAAAAAAAAAATAAATAATAAAAAATAAAATAACACAAAAAGTTAAGTTTTCGGTCGACTTCATCTCAAAATTATTATCTGATCATCACCGAAAATTATAGGCGTTGTCCTTGACCATAACTGGAATCTCATGGACATTTTCAAAGCGATCAGCGCTATATTTCCGCCCTCTAGTGTGGTATTGGGTTACTAAATAATATCTGAATACGTAAGCACCTGTAAATATTTAAGTGTAATTCCCACATCTGAGTACATACGACCATCTCATTGGTATCAATTTAAACGTCAACCCCTCCTCTTGAACACACTATAAACTTCTCGGGTCTTGGTCCTTCAGGGGCAAATATATACGGCATAGAATACAAATTTTGTCATTTTTCACACAAAAGTCAGGGTTCATTTGACCCGCTAAATATTGACCGATCTTTATCAAAATAGGCATGCTTATTCTTTGACCCGATCCTCTTCTCCATGCAAAAATTCGCGGTGTTTGGGCCATAATTGCGGCCTCAGGAGCGACCAGAAAAACCGACAAAAATAAAGTTTTTGGTCCATTTCATTCTCTAAATATTAACCGATCTTTTCCAAAAACAATTGGGGTCTTCATTGGCCAGAACCCAATCTACATGCAAAATTTCGTGAAGATTGGTCTATAACTGTGGCCTGTATCGTGTTTACAAATTATAATGGACAGACGGACGGACACACATGTCTAGATCGACTCAGCTAGTCGAGATATGACGATCAGTATACTTAAAGGTGGGTCTAGGACCAATATTTCGCTGCGTTACAAACTTTTGGAGCTGCACAAAGCTATAATACCCTGACAACATAGTTGTGTAGGGTATATAAATGTATACAAATTCATGTTTTTTATTTTTGGTCCTTTTGATAACTATTATTTTTATTGAGAACAAAAATTGATAGTTAATCCTCTTTAGCGAAGTCCCTACTAAAAATTGCATTGGAAAATAATTCTAATTTTAATATTTCGTCACTATAAATATATAAACGTTATTTTTTTATTTTTGGTCCTTTTGATAACTATTACTTTTATTGGGAACAAAAATTGATTGTGAATTTTCTTTAGCGAAGTCCCTACTAAAAATTACATTGGAAAATAATTCTAATTTTTATATTTCGTCACTAATTGTAACTTATTCTTGCTTTGATCTTCACTGTTGCGCCTCTAATAATACTTTTATGGGGATCTTCCAATGAATTAAAAAAATGTTCCATGTACGGACGCAGTTTTTTCGGATAGAAGTTTATTCTTGAGGAATATACGATTACCTGTAATTTTTGCGGTAAGCAATCCGATAGAAACGTTCAAATTTCACCAACACTTCCAAACAAATTATAATGAACTTGCGGAAGCTTAGATGCATCTTATTCGCTTACTCGGCCCTTATGTCTTGTTTGTCCTCAAATTGAGGAGTTAACGAATTATTTTCAAATATGCAATAACATAACTTTCTTTTTTTTCCATTTTCAGGTGGCGATGAACCTGTGGGAGCTCAAATACCTTCAATGTTTTTGAATTTCATGGGCAGTGACATTGATTGGGGCTATAATACGGAACCAGAAACATCAGCATGTCTTTCATCGGAGGGACAGCGTTGTTACTGGCCTCGTGGCAAAGTTCTGGGCGGTACATCTGTTATCAACGGTATGATGTATATCCGTGGTAATCGTGAAGATTATGATGATTGGGCTGCCATGGGTAATCCGGGATGGAGCTATGATGAGGTTTTGCCATTCTTCAAAAAATCGGAAAATAATTTGGAAATTGATGAAGTCGGTGCTGATTTACATGGTACCGGAGGTCCAATGCCTGTTGGTAAATTCCCCTATAATCCACCTCTATCGTATGCTATTTTGAAGGCCGGCGAGGAATTGGGTAAGTTTTAGAGGCAAGCCGTAGGGTTCATAATTTTAATGCTGTTTATTTTTTTTCCTTATGGTTAGGTTTCTCTGTCCACGATTTGAATGGTTATAATTCCACCGGTTTTATGATTGCCCAAATGACATCACGCAATGGTATACGTTATAGCTCAGCGCGCGCTTTCATCCGCCCGGCTCGTATGCGTACAAATTTACATATTCTTTTGAATACCACGGCCACGAAAGTTTTGATCCACCCTGGTACAAAGACCGTTTTGGGTGTTGAAGTAAGCGATCAATTTGGTAGTATGCGCAAAATTTTGGTTAAAAAAGAAGTTGTTGTTAGTGGTGGTGCTGTAAATTCACCGCAAATTCTATTGCTGAGTGGTGTTGGCCCTAAAGAGGATTTGAAGAAGGTACGTAGACTCATTATTTTTATGCTTTAATTTTAAACTGAATGACGGCCCCAATATCCACATCATATTTATTTTTCGGTCTTTTAAATGGCAGGACAATATTTCTCACATGACTTAAAAAGACTCTACTGAATCGTTAATTTCCAAATAACGATTTTTTGAAACGGAGAATATATTTTTAAACGCATGCTTCTTTAGAAACGTTTGCACATCGTTTTGCTATTTCCTATTATCTCTAATTAATCATGTTTCATTTTATTTTTCACAGGTTGGTGTTCGTCCCATACATGATCTACCGGGCGTTGGTAAAAATTTACACAATCATGTTGCCTACTTTACAAATTTCTTCATTGATGATGCCGATACTGCCCCTCTCAATTGGGCTACAGCTATGGAATATTTACTCTTCCGTGATGGTCTTATGTCTGGTACCGGCGTTTCCGATGTCACAGCGAAAATGGCAACACGTTTTGCCGATCGACCTGGTGTACCCGATTTACAATATTATTTCGGTGGTTATTTAGCCAGTTGTGCACGTACCGGACAAGTTGGTGAATTACTATCGAATAATTCGAGAAGTGTACAAATTTTCCCCGCCGTATTAAATCCCAAATCACGTGGTTATATAACTCTCGCCTCAAATGATCCATTGGCACCACCACGAATTTTTGCAAACTATTTGACCGATGAACGTGATGTAAAAGTTTTGGTGGAGGGCATTAAATTCGCCATAAAATTGTCGAAGACAGCACCGTTACAACAGTATGGCATGCGTTTAGATACTACAGTGGTGAAGGGTTGCGAATCACAAACATTCGGTTCGGATGCATATTGGGAATGTGCCGTGCGACAAAATACTGGTCCAGAAAATCATCAAGCTGGCTCTTGTAAAATGGGTCCGGCCCATGACCCCATGGCTGTGGTCGATCATGAATTGCGGGTGCATGGTATACGCGGTCTAAGGGTTATGGATACAAGTATTATGCCCAAGGTAACGGCTGGTAATACACATGCGCCAGCTGTTATGATTGCCGAAAAGGGTGCATATATGATTAAGCGTGCATGGGGTGCCAAAGTTTGACGATTGGACGCAACATGGACGCTGCATAGAGTAGTTTAATAAAAAACAAAAAAAAAACAATCAAAAATGAAAATAAAATCACAAAAAAATTATAAAATTTATAAAAAATATTGTACTTAATTTTAGGCATTTTTGATAATTAATTATTTTTATTGAGAACAAAAATTGATTGTGAATCTTCTTTAGCGAAATCCCCACTAAAAAATTTGCATTGGAAAATAATTTTCATTTTTATATTTCGTCACTAATTGTAACTTCTCTTTGCTTTGCTGTTCACTGTTGCGCCTCTAATAACCACGTTTTTTTTTCTTGTAGAATATTTCAACTTTCAATACCAAACACTTGCTTCTCTTGTAGAATGTCACAATCAGCTGGTAGCTGACTACAAAGATTGCCAGCTGATCTTCAGGTTATCTTTAAATACTCAAAAGGCATCGTTAGAAAAAACAAACATTAACGACTTGCAATTGTTTTGATTATTTAGAGTATGTTAGTAATTTTCACATTAATCCGATATCCCTTTAGACGATTTCAAACTTTTTTTTTCAAAACTATAAAAAAAACTCTTCCCATCTTTAGTATTATAATTTATTCACAATGCGAACCTACCTAATATCAACACTTAGAAAAATTCACAAACAAAATTATGTTCCGTTTTATATAGTTAACTATAGTAACAAAAAAAATAGAAAAAATCAAATACTATTTCAATTGTACAACTAACTGTAATATTTGTATTCAACAATGACAATTATTATAACGTAATATTGTTACTATTTTTTATCAATTATATAGTATTTATGTATATTTATCAATACAATAAACAATAAAGAAATAAATACAAAAAATAAAAAACAGTTTTAAATTGCGTGTGAATAAGTTGGTCAAGTGGAAGTTGATCGAAAAAGGTATTTTTCAAATTTGGTCGAATGTTCGAAATGGAGGCCTTATAAATTTAACATCAATAGTGATGTTTGTTACAGATTGTTGCAGATCGACTTTGTTATTCCTTTCCATTTGCATTCATCGTTCAGATTTGAGATTGCGATTGTGTTCCAGAATTTAATTGCATTTCTTCAAGGCAGCTTCTTATTTCTTCGAATCGTTGTATATGACGTTTTAATTTCGTCATTTAGCTCTGATAAGCCAATCGAGCAGTGAGCATTACTTATAGTAATATCATCGCCTATAATTTTGAACATTCCGTAGTTCCACTTACTTAACTGCCTTGTGACAGAAAATTTGTTTCATACACCGAACAGGCTCGTCAGTCTCGCGCGCAGCTCTACCAATCTGAAAGACCATATTCGGCAACGTTCTCTTCCACTTGATTTTTCCATCTAATTCGTGGCCTTCCCTTCTGCGTTAATCATCAGTTGGGTCGCTTTTATATGCCTTTTGTGGTGGAGCATCCCCATCCACTCTCAAAACACATGACCTATCGAACGTAGTAGCTGCAAGTCAATACGTCGGACAATGCAGATGCCCGAGAATGGTTCATTCGACGGCGATATTCACCGTCAACGCACATCGGCCCATAGATCTTTTGGAGGATTTTTCTCTCAAACACTCCAAGAGCTGTCTGATCTGCTTGCGCAAGTGCCCATGCTTCAGGTCCATATAAGAGCACGGGTAGTATCAGCGACTTGTAGAGTGTGGTTTGGATTGGCGAGAGGTGGCCTTGCTTACTTACGTCATAGTAGCATCCATAGTTTATCCTTCTCCGAATTTCAAATCTGACTACCTCGAATCTCTAGTTCTTAAGTTCCACAGTTGGTCCGAGTCTACTGGACGTCTTGCGCTTTGATCACGCCAGCTTGGTCTTCTCGCCATTTACTGCCAGACCCACTTTGACAGACTCCTCCTCAATTTGGTCAAAGGTAGGTGTTACCGCTCGCAATGTTCGACCCATTATGTCGATGTCATCGGCGTGGGCGATTAACTATGTTGTTTGGTGTACAGAGTGCCATTTTTATTCACATTTGCCTCTCGTATGACCTTTTCCAGCAGGATGTTAAAAAGATCACACGACAAACTGTCACCTTGTCTGAATTATAATGCCGAACGTAGACATGGCTTTAAATAGGTGGTATGTATCGAGGTCTTTTTTGTGGGTCTTTTCCAGGATTTAGGGCAGAGTGAAAATCTGTCAATAGTGGATTTGCCAGGTCTGATGCCGCATTGGTATGGTCCAATAATGTCATTGGCGATGGGAAGGAGTCTTATTTCTCTATAGTTGGCACATATCGTCTTGTCTCCTTTTTTGTGCACGGGACACAAGATGCTGAGGTTCCAATCATTGGCATGCATTCCTCTAGCCAAATTATACTAGTTCGGCTGGTAACCCATCGGCACCTGCTACTTTATTACTCTTGATTAATCTCCACATATTTCCTCGAAACGCTAACAATGTCGTTGTTTCTCTAGACTTTAGTCGTTCATCTTCAGCTTCAAGATTGCGAATTCAGGTGAGCCGCTTCTTTCTTCGAGTCATTGTCATTTAACTCTGGCAGGTCAAAGTAGGGACGATTTAGTTAAACAAGGATCTATTTTTATATACCGTCCTCTTGACCTAAGACCTTCTTTTTGTGTAAGGTCAATCCACTAAAATGATACAAGATTTTACAATTGTCACATGTGGTATGCTTGAGTTAGAGTATTAGAGACACCACAGGTTCTTCGCAAAACGAATAAGAGCACCAAGTGCAACTTTTTTACCGGACAAAACGTAGACGAATCAGTGTCATGCTCAAACCATGAGCATCGGCCCTAATCAATGCCTTTCTCACCGGAAAGTAGAAAAATCAAATAGAATTTATCCATTGTCACATGTGCTATGTTTGAGTTAGATTATGAGATAATATCCTACTGGTACGCATTATTAAATTCATTATGGCAACACTAAATGCATACGTTACGTTACAAATTCGAATATAAATACTCTAACACGCTATTACAAGTATAGTTCGAATCGAGATCACACACTGATACGGAGATAATCAAAAATATGATATATTTTCAATATTATTTCATAATTGGTTTAATAATATTTTTAAAAAGTTCTACGTGTAAGGTTGAAAAAGTCAAGGACAATGGTGATATTTATGTCGTCAATGAGGACAAATTTCTTCGTGATCAACAACAGTTAATACAAAAAGAATACGCAACCACTGAAGAATCGATTTGGATTACAACACCTCCTCCCATCGATACAAATATTATTGATTTTGATCGTATGATTGCCCTATGTAATTCCAGTTTTTCAATACCAATGGGTAAGTTGTTGATTGCAGTGTACTCGTAAGCTCATGGCATTATTATACAAGGTAGTCTCATGCAGACATAACAATACGGCTGGGTTATCTGACAAAAATCCTGGAATTACATATCGATTTCACAGCTGGTAATTCCTGATATTTAGAATGTTGGCCGAATTACTCCTATTCTAAAACCAGATAAATTCGCTACTAATGGAGAATCGAGAATCGTACCGCCTGATTTCTCATTTCTCATACCAGTAGCCAAGGTATATAGCCTGTACTTTTTCCACCCCTGAAACAGCATTTCGTTATTGCTACTTCTAGCCAACATGGTTTCAGGGAGACATATGGCACAACAAAGCCTTTGCAAGAAATAACTTCCAAGATTGCGAATGACCTCAATCAGCGACAACCAACTGAACGGACCATTGGGCAGCCTTAGATCTGTCCAAGGCGTTCGATGCGGTCGATTATTTCGAGCCGATATTCGAAATCACAAATTTCACCATTGCAAGTGATATTAAGCTTTGACTTTCCAATTAACTTAATGGTCGGCAAGCCTTCGTTAAGTTCCATGTTCAAAAATCCAAATATCGCAGCATCCTATCTCCTATTTTGTATCGCGGCGTCCTTTCTCCTATTTTGTTCAATATGTATCTCCTCCACCATATGTTTCAGAGGTGTCGTCAGTTCGTCTGGCGTTATCATTGACGACGTAAATGTAAGAAAAACCAAACACCATTACCAACTTCTCCTCGGAGCGCAATCTTCGATCTTCGATAACTTCCTTCATTTCTCCTCGAATTCCAACTACGCCAACCAGAAGTTGTAAGCAAGGAATAAAGTTCTGAAAGCTTAGGTGCCAGCCAAAGCTGGTGCCAACTTAAAGAAATGTTTCTAACGAAATACGATGGCCTTGTAGAAAACACCCACTAATCTATGCCGTCTGTAGGCCAGAACTGGACAGCGACACAGGAGATGTTCAATTGTTTCCATCTCCTCCTCGTCGTCGCATAGTCTGCAGTAATTAGTAACATCATGGTCCCACTTACAGGTAACGGTTTTTATATTTCACCTTTGCTCAGATTCAACAGTCAGTTTGTGCATTTGGCTGACATAGTAGATAGATCTTGACACATTGCACCTAGATTCGTTGTATGAAAGTTTGTTTGCTCGTTCGTCAAAGAACGCCTCACAATTCCGGAAAATGATGACAGACCGGTGGTTTGATTGAATCAGCGATTGCTAGATCTGTAGATTGAGATCCTCGTCCAGGTAGTTCGTCTGCTTTGACTTGATGTTACAAGATTTGATGGTTACTACGGTTCCAGTCGTCTCTAAATGGGGTAATGATTGTCAAATCTCAGGACTGGTGATATATAGACGCTTAGTTTTCCACGTTAATCCAATGTGATACCTTGTTCGTTCAGGATACATCCATGCCCATATGCACAATTTCGCCAAAGATTCTGTTCATGAAGCCTGACACTTAATAATGAGACCCTGAGGCCTTAAGTTTAGCATTGCGTTCAGAGTTGCTTGGAGAGTGCTGCTCGCGGCTCCATTTATAAGAATCGAGGCTGCTCTTTGTATCTTGTCCAGTTTTCTGGATGTCGACTTATGGCGCAGGCACACAGTGGGAAAAATACCGATCTAGCGCGCAGAAAATAAAAAAATGAAGTTGAAGGAAACTTTAAAACATTAATGCAGTTTTAAAGTAGAGTGTTGAGAGTATAAAATAATCCGAATTAATTAGCTAGAACGGAATAACGGTACATTTAAAATAGAAAAATTTTCCAATTTTAAAAATGGCATTTTTTAGCTATAAAATTGCGATGGTCGTGTGCATTCTGTGAATATATTATTATAAAATTTTGTCCCTTTTTGATATATAGTATTGGTATTTAATTAAATGGTATAGTTATATAACCCATAAGTTATTTTAATTTAGGTGTTTCGGGCTAAATATATGTAAGGTCCGTTTTTTTTTTAAATTCCTTCAATTAAAATAGGGGTTTAGTATGGAGTGCAGTCAACTTATACGAATACGGCCTGTCTACCTTACATGCAAGGATTCGATGTTTAGAATGTATATTGCACATTTCATACCGACTGGTTTTAAAAAAGTGGAAAAAGCTTTGCCCATAGGAATGTTGTCTGAAGAAGCCATTGAATCCAGAAATAAGGACTTTCGGAACTGTACACCAGAAAAATAATCGTGAGGAAACAATGAGAGATCTTTTCAATAGGTTGCTATTTTCTTCTGATCCAAAAATATCAAGTTTTTCTCGTAGTACATCTCTTAACCATCGATATAGTGAGCCACTATCTGAAGAAGTCCTTAAACTACTGGAGGATCCAATGCTACCAACTAATTCAGATCAAAACTCGGATTCTGAATGTGATTAGTATTTAATAAGTAACGCCTAAATTTTGTAAAATATATATAGTTTAATGTTTTAGATATGTAATATTAACAATAATAAAGATATATATAATAACAATAGTGTTTGCCCTTAACCCACTTTTTACCCTCCAAATGTTTCGGAATGTTTAAAAGAAGCTCCCATTTTAGGAGTACTATTAGTTATAACGAAAAATGTTGCTTATTATAAAACGTTTCAAATGCTTCAAAATAGTAATTTTCACCTAAAAATTTAAGTTTTTTCTAAAAAAAATCGGCGCTTAATGAGTTAATAAAAAAAATTCCAATTTTTTTCATAAAATAATTAAAATTGTCCATCTAAATCTATTCTTATCCAAAATATCGATAAACATACAGTAAAACATCTACTTTTATTTTCTGCGCGCTAGATCTGCATTTTTTCCCACTGTGAGGCAGCGCCACCAAATAAGAGATATATAGGATAAGCCTTACCACGATGTTAAATATCCAGTGTATAGTCGATGCGTTTAGCCCCTAAATTTTCTGGATGCTGACTTATGGCGATGAGGTGAGCCTTACCACGGTGTTATGCATCCAGTGTATAGTCGATGACCCCAACATTTCCCAATGGAATTCTTGCATGCATAGAGTGCAATCTGCCCTCTCCTAAGTATTCCTGTTCCAGTAGTTTACAGTCCAGGATCATGCCAATGTAGTTTGCTTCGGGCGAGAGATGAAACTGCACTTACGTTTCCTAGTGAACAGTACCAGTTCTGTCTTTGTTGGATTAACTCCAAGGCCCTTAGCATTGGCCCTGCATTAGCTCCGAAATGGTTCACGGAAAATTACAGTGATGACCTCCGCGACACATTCGTTAGGACTTCACGACAACAGATGGTCCATAGCGAACGCCATAAAATCTGTGCATCAACATACAGTCTCCGAAGCCATAAAAAAATAAAATTTTACCAACAACCAACATGTTCGAACAAACACGAATAGTCAGACAGTTCATAATTTAGTACATACATTACAAAACAAACATTTTTTATGGTCAGGCATTCGTGCAATATCGATTGTATACTGGTCAAAGAAGTGACCTTTAACGTTATAACACCTTGTGTTTTACATTGTAAATTCATGCTAAAAATGGTGTAACGAGTCCCTTTAAATATTCAATTTTTTACAGATTACTATCGTACCTTTAATACAACGGCTGCTTTACCAGACACCGTTGATAAGACAGGCATGGTGAGATATTTGTATAAAAAACCCTTGTAGTGCAGTATATTTTTCTAATTATATATTTTATCACTTTCAATTTCCTTGTAGTGCTTTTTACGATGTTTGTACGAAAAATCAGGCATATTGGAGAACTGGAAACTAAATAGGACTAAAATACGCCTAAACATTTGGCCAGCAACGGGTGACTCAATAGAAGTTTGTGAAAAAGAAGGATGTAAGTATTAAAGGATTTATGTGATTTATAGATTTGTATAAACTTTGTTTCAATCATTTTTATAACCTCCATCCGATCGCAGACCCCTAGTGTAAATCAAAATCTATTTTCGTTTCTATTTCAGCCAACGAAAAGAATCCCTGTGTGCGCGCCTATGATATAGCAAAATGTTTAACTATACGTGCATTGGTGGATGCAAGGAATCAACCTTTATAAACGCACGATAATATACCTTATTTTTCGTATATCCAATACAAATATGTTCATCATTAAATCGTAATTTAAATATTTATCCAAATTATTTAAGCAAATCCATCCATTATAAATGATATATTTTCGTTTCATTATTATTATTATTCTAATAAAAATCATAATTATTTGCTATTGTTTCAAAATGCTATTTCAACTATTCGCTACCGAAGTTGCATAATTTTGTATCTCATTTAAATGATCTTCGTTGCCGTTACCGGTATCAGCCTCTTGGATTTCTGATCGACAGATATTACTATAGTTGAGTAAACGATTCAGACGTTTTCCAATTTGTTTCGGGTATTGATTGTTTTTAATTCGAAATTCTTTCGATTGATGTTCAACGGCACCATTATCCAATTGATATTTACACAGTGTGTGTAATGGTTGAACCAACAGCGTTCGTAATTCTGGACGATTTTCTAATACGGCCAAAGACTGTGCGGCCGTTTCCAATGTACTTAGACATCCCTCGGTCGGCTGGGTGCGTATAATATAATCGCTGGTACCGACGGCAATAAGTTTAACCTGACGCATATTATGCAACATCGGACTACTGGCATACATTGCCTTGGCCTGTGGCCATGTCCCATCAATTAGCACAAGCGTAAACGGACCTCCTTCGCCGCTTTGGTCAGCCTCTTGGCGTATGCTTTCTAAAGGCACTGATGTTTTACTAGGATAGAGCAGCAGGGAATTTGGTGATTTCAAAATTGGTTCTAATTCGGCTTGATTTTTTGGTGTTGGAAATTTTTTCCCCTTGTAGACAACACATTTGCCAGGTTTCAAGCCTAATTGTAACATTAGAGCTGTTCGGAGTGTACGTTTTTCTTCGGCAGGATGTTGTAGAATAACAATGCTACTGGCAATATCAAGTGGAGGATTTGGCAGGGAAGAACACCAACACACAACTTGTGGACGTCTGAAAAAAGGAAAAAATTCAGCTTTTTTATATTTTTGCAAGTTATTATTGCAGGTTATGCTGGCAAATTTTCCTAACTATGTTATAGCTCTGCGACTTTAGATTTAAAAAATAATGGGAGGATATACTAAAAAAATAAACCTATACTAACAATTTACGGATAGGGTATATAACTATACCCTATTTATGGCGATTCAAACCCCGTTTTCAAACTTGATTTCTCTTTGCAAGTTAGCCAACCCGGGGGTAGTAATTTATATCATCAACCGAGGTATCGGGCGTAAACCTAGACACAAAGACCATTTTTATGACAGCGAGCATTGATAATGGTCTTTGGGTAGTTAGTGGAGAATTGCTAGCAACAGCCGTGAAAGACGTGCCAGATAAAGGCACTAACAACTCATGTAACTATGAGTAGATTTGGCAGTCTTCTCCAGACTAATGTTATTAATACTCATAGCTTTACGACGTATTGTTAGTTCAGTTCGCTTGCTCGCTTCCGTGGTTGCATGACAGAATCAGTTTTATCAATATTTTCTGACGCTGTTCGTGACGCAGTATTCCCAGCGGAAACAGGGGCTTTACGAATAGTCATCATTTTAGTTGGTTCGTAGACCTCTTTCGTTTCTGCCCAGAAACGGACGGCGACGATACAAATTCATCGAGTTCCTGCTACTTATCAAACAGGTTGGGAAAAATTCTCAAAACGACTAGTGATGTAAAATCCTTCTTAATCGATACAAGCTCCGGCTCATTTTCCTCAGTGACCGTCTGCATCAGAAGCACCGGCTTGTCGGCTGAAATCGACAACCAACTAGCATTTTCCACCGTGGAGGAGCCGACATCAGCAACGGGCATACATGACGAACCCTGTTAACTATAAGGTAGAGCCCTTATGACGTTTACATATGGGAGTCGTTCCATATGTCGAGCGGGACTCATGCGGAAACTCCCATATTCGTCAATGAGACTGAATAGAAATTCACTCTGCCGGATTATATAAATGACTATATAATCCGGCAGAGTGAATTTAAGGATAACAGGAACTCACAAAAAAGACGTTACAGCGCAAAATTTTAACTTTAAAATCTTTGGCCCACGGACATGCCCAATTCGACGTAATTATGGGTATATCCCCAAAATATTAAATGTAAGTCATTTCGGTTGAAATACTAACCAAAACACTGAAATTGGAACAAAATTTCTTTAGGGCCACCTCTCAGAAAAATTTGTTTACATAGGTAACCTTTTGTTTCCCAAGTGCATCAATTTTTTTCTGGGAAAATGGAAAATGTATAGTTCCAAAAACCCCCCAATTTTGATTATTTTTAAGTTATAAATATTGCCTTTTTTGGCCAGATACCTACGAGTCGGAATCCCATTTTAAATAGAATAGTTTCTAGATGGCCGGCCTTCGACCGAGTATTTAAGACTTTCTCCTATGGACAGGACAGATACCAACACCGGCTTCGCCAAAGAATTTCCTTGTTTTTGTAGAGTTCTAAGGCCATATCTTTTGATCCACAACAGATACAGCCACATATCGCAAATTTTTGGATAGCCTAAATGTAGTCCATCATTTGAGTCAAGACTGGACTTTTAGAGAGTTTTTCAAACAAATATATATATATATATATATATCAAAATGTGAACCGAATGATTTTCAAGGACTTTGATGCACCATTTACCTAAAATCGTACACTGTTTACATATAATCGGACGAAAATATATATGAGAGCTATATCTAAATCAGAACCGTTTTTCACGAAACTCATATAAATGAGCTGTACCAAGTTTCATCCAAATCGGATTATAAATGCGACCTGTACTTTGTTTGCAAAGGGAGCCATGGGTATATCTCGAATCCTTTTGCCTGTTACAAACATATGCTCAGACATAATACCCTGTACCACTGTGTGGTGAAGGGTATAATTATATTGTCTTGATTAGGATACTTTTACGAAAATTTCAAATTTTTGTGAGAGGTAGCCCTGAAATCTTTGGGATATAGTGAAAATATCCATAAACGTGCACGGATATAGTCCATCTTCGACAATACCTGGCTGCCGACAAATGACAAGCCTGGAAAACGTTGGCTAAGTGTCCATTTCAATGTTCGGTAAACTAATTTTCCATCTAACTTCTACTCGCATAAATTTAAATAATGACTAACGAATTTTCCAATGACGAGGAAAAGCACACAAAATCCCCATGAGATCTTTTCTTTTTCTGTAACAACAAACACACATCATGCGGTAAACAACAAAATACCCTCAATGGGAACTTTCAAGTTCGCACTTACTTGCAGAATTCACATTTTGTTCTCCTTTCGGGTGGGTCTGCTGTGATACTTAATAAGTCTTGCCATGAATCTCCAGCATCATCGATTGGTAGATCCAATGTTGTTCCTGAGTTTGTTTCATCATTTGTTTGCAGCATGATTGAAGAGCCACTCACTAGACCAGATGACAGATGATGAGATGGTAAATAACCGACCTAATTTAAAATCGTTGCGAACTCTGCGAATAGAAGAATCGAGAGGGAATAACCAATAAAGACCAGATCAAAATGAAAATGGAAAGCACTCGTGAAGTTTACGAATGAATGTGAAGCATAACGTCATGTTTAGAAAGTGGGCAATGGAAGAAATAACAAAAATGGTTTCATTCCGTTTCGTTTTTTTCGGGTTGCCACACGGTCGAACATTTGCTAATGGGCATTTGTCAAATTAAAAGATCTATAGACTCTAGATCGAGCCTATTAATAATATCGCCCAGGAAGATAATGCGCGTTTATTTATTATTTATTAACAATTAACCAATGTCCTAATGGACAATCTTTGTTGATGAGATATACATTAAAAAGGAATTTATCAAAAAATATTATAATCTATATATTAATATCTATGCCTTCTAAATCGACTCGTTGTAAATCGAGATATCAAACCCTAACTGTTTAGACTAGTATTAATATGAAGTGAAGTGTATTTGTCAGCTGTTAAGGTCTAAACAGAATGTTCGCGTTGAGCGTTTTTTGTTATCGCGTTAACGCACGCAAAAAGTTAAAATATATTTAACTCCGAAACGCAGCGCACAACAACTTCGAGCGTTTGTGTTATCGTTTTCTTGTGGTATTTGTCTACAAATTTGTAAAAATTATTACAAAATGTTGATCGTTTACCCAAAAGTCCAGTAAAAGAGAGTGAATTGACAGAGCAGATTTGACAGTTGTTTTAAAGCGAATTTGCCTGATAAAGAAAATAAACCCTGATTCAGCCTTTAATCATGATTAAATGTTATATGTAAATTCGCTTTAAATTTACCATGATTTATCATACAAATTTAAATAATCGTGCGGCAGGGTTATTTTAAATCATGATCGAAATCATGATACTATTGAAATGCAACGCGGTTCTTGTACCAAAAAAATACAACACTCACACAATATACCTACATTTGCAACTGTGTTTACATGTTGTTTGTTTATAAATTTAACGTTTGCCAAATACAAAAATGAAAGATCAACGGAAAATAAAAATTATATATAGATTTTTTGTGATTTTAGGTGTTTTTTTATTTTCCAAACGATCACAGCGTGGCAAAAACATTTCCATTATTGTAATTTTTCTTTTCATTTTCATGATTAAAGGTATGTGTAAACAATTAGGGCGTATTTCTGAATGTGGTTAAACGAGTCGATTTAAAATCGTATATGTAAATGTACTTTTATTGGGTATTTGCAAAATCTTACAAATAAAAATTTACTCTGTAAAAATTATCTTGTACCGTCAGCTGATATTTAAACAGCTGTTTTGTTATGTTTTGTAAACAAAATTGTTCTCATGCAAATTGATTTCTTTCCATTTTGTTTGTTATCTATTTTTTCAAAAAAAAAAAAAATATTTTTTGTTTGCGCTAAGTTATTTTAATCAGTTGTGTCGATACAATCTTTTTTGTTTACTTTTTGCAATTTTCTCACTTGATGTTTTTACTTTAAAAAATGTATACATTTTCTTGAACAATTCCGATCGGATGGTTCGTTACATTAGGTACGATCGTAAGTCCGTTCGTTTACTTTCCCAGTAACATATACTAAGTAAGAATTTGCAGAGAGTAAAATAAGAATTTTTGGTTTCAAGAGAGAAAATTGCAAAAAAAAGTAAATGAACGACATCCAGTAAAAAGGTTGAATAGCCACAGGTGATTAAAACAAGAAACAATTTGGCTCATACAAAAAAGCAGCAAGATTTTTTTGTAGACAAATGGAAAAAAGCGGAAAATTGATATTGGTTATAAATACTTGCGTTTTCTTCACCCATTTTAATGTTCAATGATACAAAATAAATATAAAATTCACAAAACAATAAATTTGCTTGAGAACAATATTAGGTTCGTTCGTTTACTCAATAATTTGTACAAATTATTACAAAATGTTGTTCGTTTACCCAAAATTCCAGTAAAAGAGAGTGAATTGAGAGCTTTAAAGATTTGACAGTTGTGTTACTGAGTATTTGCAAATTCTTACAAGGAAAATTTACTCAGTAAGAATTTTCTTGTACCATCAGCTGATATTTAATTAGCTGTTTTGTTATGTTTTGTAAACAAACAAAAATTTTTTCTCAAGAAAATTGATTGTTTTGTGAATTTTATTTTGATTTTGTATCATTAAATAGGTAAAACTTACCGGTCACAACCCTTTTAAATGTTTGTGGGGAACAAACAACATCAATTTTCCGCTTGTTATACATTTTTCTAATAAAAATGCTGTTTTTTAGTTTGCGCCAATTTGTTTGTTGTTTTAATCAGCTGTGTCGAAACAATCTTTTTACTGGATGTTGTTCGTTTCCTTTTTGCAGTTTTCTCTCTTGAGAAGGAAAAATTCGTATTTACTCTCTGCAAATTCTTACTGAGTAAATATTACTGGGAAAGTAAACGAACGAACCTATTGTTGTTTGTTTACAAAATATAACAAAACAGCTGATTAAAAATCAGCTGACGGTAGAAGAAAATTCTTACTGAGTAAATTTTTCCTTGTAAGAATTTGCAAATACTCAGTAACACAACTGTCAAATCTGCTCTCTCAATTCACTCTCTTTTACTGGACATTTGTGTAAACGAACAACATTTTGCAATATCATATTTTTTATTGAAACCCACTGGGTTAACTAAATACGGTTAAATGTAAACGTACCATTAGGCTTTGTTGCAAAAAAGCGAAATAAATTAAATTATTGACTAAACCAAGGTGTATTTAATAAGGTGTATGCATCAGATACAACAACAAACATTTTACAAAAACAACATTGTTGTTATAGAAATTAAATTGTCATGTTGACAAATAGGTTTTGACAAAAGTAAATAAAAACAATTATACATTTCTTCAGGTCGAATAATTTTGAAAAGTGTCCCACATGTAAGCCTTGGTTCCTTGGGGATTTTGCTTATATTTTAAATTACAATATAATTTTCGAAGAAGTGGCTTCTTGGTAGAAAAATTGTAGGACATAAATCCCCGGTCAAACACCACAAACCCGTATGCATTCTGTCAATAGACTACGCAACAGAATCTCATTTTAAATTGTAAAAAAATTGTATTTAGCCAGGCGTTTGTAGAAAACTAATGGACAAATTCTAATAAAAGCTATATAACACCATTTCCTTGATCTTGAGGGAAACGGGTGATTTAGGGCCAGATTTCCTTTTCCTTAACAATCTCCGTTTGGTATTAAATCGATCATAAGAACACACATATACATATGTATATTTGCAAACTGGAACCCAAGATGTACTTGCGGCAAATATGTGGAACAAATCAGCGGCCGGATTTAGAACTGATTTAAGCTCACGCTTCTCCAAGTGACGGGCATTAACAAATTTTCCGTCCCTATAAATTCATCATTATGGCACTTTTATTAATAAAAAAATAATAATCGAAAACAAAAGACAATATTTTAAATCAAAATGAAACGTTGACAAATATTTTTGACAATTTACTTTACAAACAATAAAGAAAAAAGTTTAAAACCATATTGTTACGAATATAAATTTAGATTTAAGTTAATTTAGATGAATTCCGCTAATTTAAGAATTTGAATTGTAACGTAAATTTCTACTACGCAGTTTATTTGAATAACTTCACAACAACAACTACTGTATAGATTTTTCTACATCCTTCCATTTCCTCTTTCAGTTTCTATTTTGTTATTGTCGTACAATTCTTGTTAAACGTCATCATTGATGATCGCTTAATTCCTCTTTCTTTGTTATTCCCTCGCCTGTATATGTGTTGTTGCTATTCCTCTTTCTTTGTTACGTAACAATTGGTGTCAGAAGTGGGATTACGATAATACTACGATGAAGTTTAAGGATCTACGAGTGGAAGACTTGAAGAAGGAGCTCAATAAATTGGAATTGTCCTCTACTGGCAACAAGGCTGAACTACAAAAACGTCTGTTGGATGAGTTCGAGCGCCGTGGTATGAACATCGATACATATGAGTTTGACAGTAAGGATGAAGTGGATTTATCGGAAATGGGCGAATCCAACTGTGGGGAAGTGTCGTCAGTAGCTGCCAGGGGTGACGACTTAAGAGAAATGCTGGCTAAAATTTTTGAGCAAAATTCCAGAATGTTCGAAGAGAATTCCAGAAAGTTAGATGAACTCAAGGCAGATAATTGTAGAATGAACGAGAAACTCGAGAACATTACGGAAGTTATTGGAATGAGAGTGGAAACCGTGGAGATCCAAATTAAAGAGTTGGATAAGAAAGTGCAGTCGGTTGACGAGAAGATTCTGTCTGTGGATGAGAAATTTCTGGCCCACGACCACAGGTTTACGAATCTGGAGAAGAAAATGTCGGAACTGGAAATCAAAGGTGGTCCGGTGCGAGTTCCTGATAACACGCTAAAAATCAAACCTCCTGTATTCGACGGCTCTACGTCATTCAATGTTTTCAAGTTACAGTTCGAGACAGTGGCTTCTAGAAATTCGTGGAACGACAGCGACAAAGCGGTTGCACTACTTCTGGCATTGAAGGGCAGTGCTGCTGATGTTATACAGAGTATTCCTGTCGCTTCTAGAAACAACTATGAAGATGTTATTGCTGCACTGGAACGTAAGTACGGTGGCGAACATAAACAAAACATCTACCTTATGGAACTAAGGGGTAAAGTACAGAGGGCAAACGAGACGTTACAAGACTTTGCAGCTGAGGTGGAACGTTTGGTGCTAATGGCGTATCCAGGAGAGAATCACCCATTGCTGGACCGTATGAAAATCGAAACCTTTGTGAATGGCATACGTGACCCTGAGATTAAATGTGCAACATATGTGTCACCAAAAGCGTCATTTGCCGAAACTGTGTCGTTTGCCCTTGCCCAAGAGACGGCAAGAATAATTGTTAAGCCCCAGACCCACAAGATTCGCCAACTGGAGATCGAA